CAAGGAAAAACTGATACAATCAAAAACGAAAGGTTTTCATTATAAAAGATATTATAAACAATTTAAAAATAATAAACTTGAGCTGTAAATTTTCCTCTTACCTCCACACATAAGCTGTGGCATGTATACTGTGGCATGCATACATGCATACACACACACACACACACACACACACTAAATTTAATAAATTTTTTAGAGAAAAAAAATTAATGTGTGTGAATTGCCAGAAATTCTCACTTTCTGTACTAGACATATCGCATTTAAATTCTTTATGCTCTTTTTAATCAGAAAAACAAACACTAGAGATTGTTTGGCACAGGCTTCCCGTGACATCAGAGAAGAAATTATAGTTGCTCATTCTAGCACTCACTTGTGATCTCTGAAAATGTCCACCAGAAAATTCTGGTTAATGGCTGGAAATATTTTAAAGAGCTGCTTCTCCTTGAGTTTCGTGGCACAATCTTTTTCAAATATTAGTGTTTCCCTTTTCTAAAACAAAAACACAAAATCACCCTTAAGATGAAATTTATAAGACAAACAATAATAAACAAAAGCCTGATTATTTTTTTGCAAAAAAGACTAACAATTTATAAGCAATCACAGACTTTCTTCACTGATCAAGCATTGAGGTTAGTAATATAAGTATTCTTGCACTATTTATTTATATCCCATTTTTATTGCAAACTATTTGAAGTTACTGATAAGTACACACATACACATATAATCACAAAGACATAGCCAAGACATCCAATCATACTGCATAAAAAGGGTTAAGTTACATATACAGTCATGTACCACGTAACAACATTTCAGTAAATGATGGACCACATATTTAATGGCATTTTCTGTACCATACAGTGTGCAGTGGACCATATTAACTAGGCTGGTGGCAAATTATCTCTGTGATATTCACTCAACAAAATTACCTAATGAGGCTTTACTCCGGACATTAATCAACATGATTATCCATCATTAATCAACATGACTATATGTAAATAAACAGTATATAAATAAAGAAGTCAGGAATTAGAGATAATAAAGGCAAGAATATAGGATAAAGTCAGCAAGAAAAATTAGTTTATAAATCCGTGCCACAAAATCCTGTACAATTGCTAAAGGTGGGCATAAATTTAGTTCTAAAGCCGTAGTGGCCAAAGCAAAGGGGAAAGAAACGTTCTGTGTCCATAATAAAAACAAACCAGTCGTCAGGGGAAGTATAGCTTTTCTGGTACTGAAACCTGAGAGAAATTTATCCCATGAGTCCTCATAAAGGGACACTGTGTGATGCTGTGAACAACGTCCTCAAAAACATATTCTCCTCAACGGGCAGAAACTAAAATGTACAAATGTTGCAAATTCAGGTTGACAGCAAACCTCAAAACTCATACTTATTTAAGTTTCTCACAAATATATTCACTCAAAATAATTTATATGAGTATTGCTAGTTTTCACAATTCATATTTAAAGCAGCTTATCTAAAACTGCTACTCCAGTCATCAGAGCTACACATACCTACAATGCTTGCGCTCAGGAGCTGAGAACAGGAAGATGGAGAGTTTAAGGTCACGCTGGGCCACATATCAAGATTCTATCACAAAAAAGTTAACTTTAAATAAATAAGTAAATTAATGAAATAAAGTAGAATTTTCAGACCAAAAGAACAGTCCTAAAATAAGTTCTCTCCTCTCTCTCTCTCTCTCTCTCTCTCTCTCTCTCTCTCTGCACATGCCACAGGCACAGTCAGAGGAGGCTATTAAAACCTGCTAGCATCTATCATACTCTATCTATTCCCTTGAGTCAGGATCTCTGCAGCAATCCTCCTGTCTCCATCCCCCAGAGCTCTGGTGCTTTTCATATGACCAGCTTTTTAAATCTTTTTAATAAGGGTTTGGGGGCTTGAACTCAGGTCCTGATGCTCATACAGCAAGAGCTCTTACCCACTAAGCATCTCCCCAGCCCCTAAAATATGTTCTTTTAAATTTTAACCTAAGATTATAACAAACATTCTTAAAGTAACTTTGTTATTTTCTAATGTTTTCAACTGGTAATATAATAATTTGCTTGCTATGAAGACCCTAATCTCTGGAAAATAACTTTCTATAAAATTTCAAAGACAAGGTGGCCCTGAAAATTTCTAAATTAAATTTTTTAATAATCCAGGACAATACTGGAATAATTACTTATTTTAAAGCTTAGTAAAATAGAAGCCATTAATAGCACCAAACAGAAGAGGAAGCTTGTAAAACTCTGACCATGAAATAGGACTAATAAAGGTAAACATACATCATAAGAGTAATGGAAACAAGTCATTACAAGAACTTAAAAGTACTGAGAGCTCAGTATGGCATGCCTTATACCTACAATGCCAGCCCCTGGGGTAAAGGAAGGAAGATCAGAGTTTAAGGTCATTCTCAGCCTACACAGTGAGTTCAAGTATAACATGAGCTACATGAGGTCCTGTCTCAAGAAAACCAAAGAATTTAAAATATTTCACACTTATTTAAGACATGTATTATACTCTGAATTTGCCAAAAAAATAAAATAAAATAAAATAAAACAAAAATACACAAACAAAAAAAAATCCTCAATAATCAGATTTAGTAGTGATCTAACAAGTTAAGGTTTCTAAACTAAAAATTTTAACATCTTATCGATGGACTATAAACTTATGATATTACTACTTTACTGTATTCATTATTCACACATTATATGTGAAATTTGTTTTATACTTATTTGCCTAAAAGATATACAAAAGTGTATTTCTCCTTCAGAAACAGGGTGAAGAGGAAATATCAATAAATTCTTTTACTAATATGTCATCTAAAATTAGTATTCTTAAGACCAAGTCATCAAGTTTCTACTACCCAACTCATACAAAAGGAAAAATTGACAGAAAAATACATTAAACTCTAAAGTCAAAAGAGACTCATTTGCAAACTACCATTGAGCGGTTAAAGCGGGAAGTTAGAAACAGGCATAGGTAAGTTCAGTAATAAAAATGAGTAAATAGGTAAACAGGTTAAGTTCAGTAATAAAAATGGTATTTCAGCAAAAGCTATTACTCTATTTGAGCACAAATGTTAGGTTTCACCTTTTTTTTTTGAGAATCCATTTCACCAACTTATTATATACATAAATTAGAAAGAAATTTGAAACCGCACTAAAATTCTAAGACACTATTTGAGAATACTGTTCCTATTGTATGTAAGAATACAAAGATAGGAATTTAATTATGAACATAACTAGGGAAAAACAAACATGCAGAATGCTTTCATTCTTCCTATGCCCCAATTCTGTGTACTACAGCCATATAAAAAGATGCTTCTTTGAAGAGCCATGCAAGTGAAAGGGTAAAAATGTTTTGATCACCATATAAGAATATTTTTTCCCTTGATAATTGAACTAAGTAACATGTAAATTCTTTTCCATTTTGATTTCTTAAGTCTTTAGTTTAAAATTCTAAAAAAAAAACAAACCTGAAAATATGAATGAAATCAAATTAATCAATGTTTTCAAATAATAAGAATGCTGAAATAAACAAAAATAAAATTTAAAATCATTTCTGTTTGAACTTTAATTAAAAAGTAGAAAAGAGGAAAACTGAATTTTAAATCCAAACTCATACGTTTCTGAAACTCTTTTCCTCTAAATTTTTTTTCAAAGATGGGCACATTTTCTTTTTCTTTTTATTTTTCAAGACAGGGTCTCACTATGTAGCCCAGGCTGGCCTAGAATTCACTGCATAGACTAGTGAGAGATCTGCCTGCCTCTGCCTCCCACGTGCTAGGATTTAGAGGCATGTGCTACAATGCCAGCAGACAGGCACATCTTAGAAGCAACACTGACATTTCTTGTAACTAAATGTACATACTATATTTAGTGTGTACATACTTTATTATGTACATACTTTAGATATATAATACCATCTTTAAAAGATTTCTTTCATGTTTTATAAAAGTAAAAGATTATAGAAGCAAATGTTTAAAGGTAATTCCTGAATGGCCTGAAAAATTAATCCTGAAACAACACAAATTAATAGATGGCTTTTGTTAGAGTATCAAACACCTCGAAGCCAAAGCCTCCAGCTTTAGACTCTGTTTAAACCATTTTTCAGTTTTAAAATCAGCTTTAACCAGGTTAAATAGTGAATTCCAGATCAGGAAAGAGAATTAAATGAAAAGCACATGTTAAACACACTACAGTCAGAGGTCATAGGTTAGTATTTGTGCTAACTCATACCAAATCATGTTTTTCCTGTAAGGCAATTTCTTCAGACATTATTTCTCGAAGTGATACTTTCTTAGTTTGAGTGTTCCAGTGATCCAGTAGGGGCACTGTTTCAGATGCTGCTAAAGTCTTCAATAATTTTTTGCCTGTTTTCTGAGTTGATTTTTGTTCAGGATTGTCAAGAACAGTATGTCCTGCCAGAGAAGGCTCTAAAAAAGTAATGTACACTGTCACATCATCAACAATGAATGCACAAAGTAAGCATTATTCACGTTACATCTACCTCACAGAAGACAAAGAAATAGGATTCTCTAAAACTTTTCAGTCTATAAATACAACTACGGAAATTTCAAAATAATCTTCATCTAATTGTAAGCAACAAAGGATAAGTATAAATGTAGGAATATTTCAAGTAAGCAATAGTCTAGGTATAACTATCCATTAGCTCAATGCTTCTTCCCATCTTTTCTATATTACACTGACAAGAAAAAGTGATGTCTATTTAAAACATAAATAAATTGGGGTGAGGGATCAGTCAGCAAAGAGCAACTAGAACAGCTCTGCTCTGCTCTGCTACTCCTAGGACTGAGAAGATCAATGCTTTGAGAAATATGTACCTGACCAAAAGCACACAATAAATACTGAAAAAATTATATTCAAAATAAAGAATAAAACATTCTAAGAAGTTCACAATAACATCAGAGGTGGCACGGGGTTAAAAGCACTGGCTGCTCTTGCAAAGGACCAGGTTCAGTTCCCAGCACCTACTAGGGCAACTAATAACTATCTATGTAACTCCAGCTGCAATACACCCTCTTTTGGCCTCTGCATGCATAGCATGCACATGCAGGCAAAATACTCACAGACATAAAACAAGAGTAAGAAATCAAAAAAAGAATTTTTTTTTTAAGTTTTAGTAATAGGAATTAACATATAACAGTTAACATCTCTAATGGATATGGGCATATTCCTGGGTCTGTAAAGAGGGAAGAAACTATAGCTACTGGCATTCACACAACCACAACACAGTCCAGACACCTCTACACTCTGCCAGTTTTGACTCTTGATGCTACAATATGAATACAGATCTGAACTAAAGCTAAGAAGCTTCATTAAAGCTCCTTGCCTTAAAGTGCACAAAAGAAGTGCTGTAGGTGCCACTATACAAAAGGAGACCCTTATTAACAGGTCTGCTATTCCAGTAATCACTGAAGACACTATTATGTAAGAAATGATCTGGAAATCAAGTACTTTCTGTTTTGCAGGATTTACTAAAAAAGCAGGCTTACCTTTTTGCTCTAAGACACTGATATCAATAAAGATTTGAGAAACCAAGTAATAATTCCACAATGTCTTGATCAAGCAAATGAACCAAAACAGCTTTCCTCAATGCAGAGAAAAACCTTAATAAGAAACACTTTCATATTATGTATCAGAGCATACTACAGATGCTCTATAGTACTCATGACAAACATAATAGTATAGAGCATTTATTTTCCTCTCAGGTTTTATTCTGTATCAAGATTTAAGGTTAAAATTTCTTAGAGGACTTTCATTTGCAGCTGGGCATGGTAGATCACGTCTGTAATCTCAGCACTCAGGAGGCTGAGACAAAGTTTGAGGCAAGCCTCAGCTACAGATTAAGACTCTGTCTCAATAAATGAATGAACAAACAGACAAACAAATTAAAAGGTAAATTTAAAAAACAAGAACTTTTCTTTTGCAAATCAAAATTCTTGGGCTGGATTAAAGAAATGGCTCAGTGAGCAAAGGCACTGCTGCCAAGCTTGATGGCTTGAGTTCGACCATGGGACCCACATGGTGGAGAGAACTGACTCCTGCCAACTGTCCTTTGACCTTCGCGCACACACACCATGGCACACACTTGCACAATCATGCACACATGCATGTACACACACACAAAATAAATTTTTTAAAAACAATTTTAAAAATTCTTGAGTAACATACTTTGTAGAAGTACATTTAGAATAAGTTAAAATATGCACAATCCAAATTTTAACATCAAGGCAAATTTAAAGTAAAAATATGTGCTTTACCTTGTACACACTTGCCACAAGATACCTCCTCTTGTCTTTGTCGCTCCTAAACACAAATGCAAGCAAAGAGTGGCAAAGGATGGTGCACTGGTAAACAAGGCTGCAAGGGTATATTAATTTCCTCTAAATCTATTCTTCTTGTGTAACTGTAAATCATTACTAAAATGAAGTAAAACAATGAAACTACAAAAATGAAATTATAAAGTATGGCTACATATTTATTTTTTTCTCCCAGAGCTCTTTTTTTGGCTTTGCTTTTGAGAAAGGAGTACAGTAGCCTAGGCTGGCCTCAAACTCACTGTGTAGCAGAGGCTGCCTTGAACTCCTGATTCTCTCGCCTCCAACTCCCAAGTGCTGGGATAACAGGTACATGCCACCATGTCCAACTCACTTACAGAACTCTTATACTGGATTTTCTTTTAAAAGAAATTGTTTTGGACATTTAATCAATAAGCACTGTAATCTTTGGGGGAATAAAAAACTCACTGTTTATTTCCTTCCTAAAAAAATAATTACATTGAGCTCCTCACTAATTATATAATTTGACCAGTCTGAAAATAGCTCAAATACTAAAAAAAAAGAAAATAAAAGCAATCAGTAATCTGTTAACTGGTAAAAGTTCATTCTTTCTTATAGTTAAAATTCAAAAGAAACCTTTTATATAACATGACAGATTTTACTAAAAAAACAAAGGTTAGATAATCGACATGAAAGGAACTCTTCATACAAAGAAGCCTACCAACCATCACAGATTCTTTCCATTTCTCATGAATCACTTTAGCCAGATTCAGATCTATATGAACCACACAATCCTCAACTGTTAGAGACCCTTGTGAAGAGGAGAAAAAGAAGAAAAAAAATACAATCATTACTCATACATTTGCAGAAAATGTACTCAACTACCATACCATGAAACTAATTTGTGTTACTAATCACTAATATATTTCTATTTACTTGGAATATTTTTATGTTCTGTGCCATTGTTTCCACACTTAACTGGTACAATATGCAAAGCTTCATAATCAAGTTAGTCACTTCCCTTTGCTTTAATATTAATATATTCCTTTAGTTGAGGTTTTTTTTTCATTGTTGTTTTGTTTTGTTTTTTGAGATAGGGTCTCCCTGTAGGCCTAGCTGGCCTGGAACTCACTACGTAAACCAGGCTGGCCTAGATATCACAGATCTGCCTGCCTCTGCCTCCCAAGTGCTGGGATTAAAGATGTGTGTCATCACACCTGGCTTAGCTGAGACTTTTAAATAGCTGTATTCTAAAAAATTAATTCTTGCCTTAAATTTATCCAGAATAGCATCAAAAGACTCAAAGTTCATATTTTCAAATAGATGTGAGGTAAATAACAGAGAAAATTTTCAATATATTCACGAGATAGGCTCTAACTCTACACAAATGTTTTGATCTTTTTAAAACATGCTACATCAAAAATAAAGCACCACATAAAATTGTCTGTATACACACAAATTACTGACATGTTCAGCCAATACATGAAATAACACTGTAACTGAAATAGAAACTTATGTGTTCTATTTATACAAAGACATACACACAAGTAGATATGTAGATAACTCTTTCCTTACCTGAATCAATACCAACTGGGCCAAATAACTCATAGAGTTGGAAAGCCAGTTCAGGGGGTAATGCCAATTCCAGACAGTCTATAGTTAGAGATTTGGCCATCACTGGCATGGGACTTAGTGTCTCGGTTTTATCCTCTTCACTAACTCCAACAGACAAACTAGTTCCTGGCATTAGAATTTTCTCCATTTCCTGTTTATCTTCATTAATAAATTCTTCTATCTTTGAAAATTTCACATAATCTTTAGGAAGATTTTCATTTTTCTTTGCTTCCAAAGACTCAGTAAGATAAACTTCTTCATTTAATTCAAGATTTGAAGTGCTTGTTGCAGAGTTTATAATATCAGATAAATGAAGAGAAGAATGCATATTGTCTCCAGTCACAGTGGCTACTAGATTATTCTCCATTTCACTAACATCTTTAGGGATATTCAATTTGGAAATAAGAGGAAGAGACTGCTTAAAGCTATACAAACCTGAAAGCTCAGCCCGACTAATATGAACTATTTCATTATTACTCTTTACATTCATAGTGGCATAAGGAAATATTCCCGTGATTAATTCAGGGTTTTCAGGATTTATAGATCTTATTTCTTCCTGCTCTGAGTTTTCATTTTCTGTATTACCAGTAGACTGTGCGTTAGTGTTACTGATACCAACCACAGGACTAAACTCTGGCACAGAAGACTTGGAATCTTCTGAGGTTCCTCTTTGGCTAATAATTTCCTTCAAATCCAACCCCATAGAAAATGGCCCAACTTGGGATTCATTGCATGATTTGGGGGAATTCTCAAATTCAGTATCCTCACATAATTTAGTCTCAGAATCCAACAAAAGGCTTGTGGCCCAAATAATGTCTTTATTACACCTCTCATATAAGTCTTTCAGGGCTTCTAAGGAAAATGATCCAAATAGTTTACAAAGAATGTTAAGATTTTCAGATTCATCAGCACTGGTAAGCTCACTTTCTTCAACATATGTACTTTTGTCATGCATTACCCTGTATGGAATTGTTTCTTGAACATTTGATTTTGTGTTAAGAGTGAAATCTTTTGGCTTAAAACCATCTAATTTTCCTGTTAATACTCTGACAGAATCTGAAACAGTGATTTTATTCTTTTCTATTTTCCACAAGAGAGCAAAATCTTGGGGTTCAGTCTGGGTACACGTGCCTACATCTAATCCAGACACATCTCGAGATACTTCCCTTGGAAATTCCGCCAAAGTTTGGGGTCCTATTACTCCAGGAATAGTTGCTGTACTACTGGCAAAGGAAAGAGGCAGTGTGCGCTGACTATGAATCTTTTTGCTCAGACAAGTCTGATTTTCAGGGGTCGTTTTACAGGGTAGCATTTCAGAACTTCGCAGAGTAGAACCCAAGGTTTTCAGTTCTTCAGGGCTCATGCCCCAACAGGCCTCATGTGCTGTATATAAGGATATTTCACCTAGATTGTCATTAGTTCCAAATTCTAAGTTGGGTTCACTTAAGCCAGCTTTGGGTATTCTTGATCTATGCTCTCTTTGAGCTAAAGAAGCAGCTGAAGGCCAGTCACCCACAATGCTGAATGAGGTCTGATCAGTACTTTTGTAAGTATCATACTCATAGCTATTAGGGACTTCTGAAAAATCATTTCCATGTGGAGATCCTTGTTGCTGGCTACGATCTGTATTTACAGATACCTTAGTGTCTAGCACTTTGTGTGACTGAGGACGATTATACTTTTTATCACTCTGTACAGATGAAGCTTTTTCAGTTTTTCGGCTCCTTTTGGTCCTCTGGCCAATAGTCTTATCAACTGGCCAGTCACCAACAAAATTTGATAGTTCATTTCTTGGGAACTTTTCCAAAGATGATTTACTCTTTTGTTTTCCGATAGCTTTCTTCTTTCCTGTTCTTTCTTCTAGTACTTCAGCAGGTGAAGCTCTTTCATTTTGAAGTGGAACAGCATTTGTAAGATCACAATTGTCTTGATTACTTTCACTACAGCAAGCACTCAGTGATGGGCTCTCTGCAGGACTATGGGCATCTCTGTCAGTACACTCTTTTTCAGATGTCCTTTCTACTTGTTCTATTTCACTTCTACCTGATGCTTTTCCTTTGCTCTCAGAGTTAGAGACATGTGTCTTTGGAGCCTCCTGAAAGGAGCCCTGAATGCTCTGACTCACGTCACTGATCTCTTGTTGTCCTTTGTCTAAGTCTGCACTGGGGAGGTCTGCAACATTCTCAGCTACTCCTGTGTTCTTGGCCACAACAAGATTATTCTCTGTAATGAACTCTAAATGCTTCAAAGTCGAGGATAAAACATTTTCTTTTTCAGAGGTAATATCTTCATTGTCTCTTGGGCTGTAAGACATTTTTTTTAACTATTGTAAGAAAGTCTCTTCATATTGACATTAATACTGTGATTTAAATTAAAGAACTGGATAGACAAGGCACTTAGCATTTATTTATTCTAAAAGTTACAAAAATAAACTCCACTAAAATTATAAAAGCTGGGGTGGGAATGTAGCTCAGTTGTATGGCTCAATAGTAGAGCATTAGACCAGCAAATGCAAAGCCTAAAATCTAACCTCAATCATTTCCTAAGATATTATGAACACAATCCTTTGTTGTAACTCTACCACCTAGCATGTCAAGCATACATAAAACAAGCAAACTTTTTGAATATTAAACATGATTTTCAGTTAAAGTGCTCATTATGCATTGAATATTAAAGTTAAGGATCTAAATTTGTTCTGAGAAGAGGACATTACCTCTGGTTCCTCTTGGACATCTACAGCTTAGCATATGTAAAACTAAATCTAACTCTGTTATCTGTCATTTATTACAGAGGAAGTTTCATTTACAGGCTCACACAACCAACATGATATGCATGGTAAAGGAAAATGAGAAAAATAGGGTGAGGCAAGCAGAGGGTTTTCATTTGAGATGTCACTCGTTAACGTTTTAAAACCATCCTGAATGTTAATTTCCAACTCAGAGCATTTTTATCTAATCATTACACTTTCAACTTCAAGGATTTTTTTCCTAATTCAATCTGTCAACAAAGTCCCTGCTCTTCCATTAAGCTTTCCTAATGAAATCATATCTAACATTAATTGAACTTTCTATGTGTCAGTTTAAAAGAGTACTTGTGGGGTTGGAGAGATGGCTCACCGGTTAAGAGCACTGGCTGCTCTGAGTTTGATTCCCAGCGCCCACAAGGCAGCTAACAACTGTCCATAACTCTAGTTCCAGGGGAATCCAATGCCCTCTGCTGACCTCCTCGGGCATTGCATGACACAGGTGCACTTACAAACACTTATATACATAAAATTAAAAATTAAAAAATAATAAATATTTAAACATATTTTAACCTACCTAGGACTTCCATCTTCATAAGAATATGCACACAATTCAATGCGTTCAGTTTTCTCTGGATCCGAGGAACTCATGATTATTGGCACTGAAACAAAACGCTGATAGTGATCCAGCATTCTTGTTATCTTCTCTTTGCTTACCCCATGAATATTACGCCTGAAAATTCCAAAGAAAAAGGTAGAGGGAATGTTGATAAGAAAAAAAAGAAAAGAAAGAAAATATAAAGTCCAAAAGAACAGTAGTACATTTCTATTCAGGGCTGGGAACTGAACGGTACATTTCTATTCAGGGCCTGTGCATGCTAGATGAACACTCCTTATCACTGAGTTACATTCCCAGCACTATAAATGACACATTTCAAATACCTAAGAATTTAAAAACTGACTTATCATGGCATAATATGTGCTATCTGATTCTAATGCCATTTCAGTCCTTTGTTCATATAAGGTCTTGCTATGAAGCTAACTTGGGATCCTCCTGCTCTAGCCTCTTGAGTATTGGAATTGCAGTACCTCTTAAATTGTGCTTCTATTAATCCTACACAATCTTTTCTGAATATCCTTCATTAATTTAGGAAAAAAGTTCAAATAACTTTTTTTTGGTCTTTTTGAGACAGGGTCTCCCTGCAGCCCCAGCTGGCCTGGTACTTGCTATGTAGACCAGGCCGGCCTTGAACTCACAGAGATCCGCCTGCCTCTACCTCCCTGGGATTAAAGGCATGCACCACAATGCCTGGCTAGGTTCCAATACCCTTAAAAAAAAGTTGTTCTAAAGTTCTACTTAAAAAAAAAAATCATAAAACACTGACTGCCATTGCAAAGGTTTTAATTAACTATAAGCAATAAGCATCCTTCTATAGAGAATAAGACTAAATGTCTCAAAGTGCTTTCCTTCAGTTACAATAAAACTAGCACCCAGTTAAATTAAAACAAACATGTTTTACTGCATTTAAGCTCAAACAATTGTTTTAAAATCCTAGCACATTAAGACTCTGGATGTCCAAATATAAAGTTTATTATTTGTGCTTCCACTCATGATAGCTTATTTGTGTTTTTGTTAATGAGCACACACTTAGATAAATCTAACATATGGGACTCCTTAGGTCTCAAACTGAGGATGCTTTCATTTATACAGCATCTGGACCTGCACCTGCCAGGAGGCAAGATGTTACACTTCAGTCCCTCAGTTTTTTTCTTAATGAAAACATCTTAGTGGCAATTCTCTTAACTTGGGCTGGATTCAAGGCTTATGTCTGAATCCCAAGGCTAATACAGACATTTGCTTCTTGGGTGAATCTAGCTTTCATATTTACCTACCTCGATCTTGTCTGGTTTCATATCACAGAGAAGCAAAGAGACAGAAAATATGAAAGAGAGGTTAAGAAACATAGACACAGAGGCCAGAGCAAAAAAGGTCTAGTATACCACGAGTTTAAGTCCCAAGAAGAGAAGAGAATAAATGGGACAAAAGCAATTTAAAGAAAAATGCTGAGAATTTTCCACAACTGATGAACAATATCAATGTCCTGACTTCAAGAACCAAACAAATCACAAACCAAATTTTAAAAAGTACAAGAAATCCATGTTTTTTGAAAATGAAAAACATTTACTGAAATTGTCATTCACCAAAGAAAGAGATGACATTAAACCATTTTTTTTTTAATTTAAGCTAGTTATGTACTATGTAC